CCAGAAACTAGTTGAAAAAAAAACATTGTGTTTGCAAGTGGGGGGGGGGGGGCTGCGCCCCCCCAAACCCCCCGCCCTCTTTTTTTTCGAGCCTGCAGAGCGTGAACCCCCCCGCTTCTTTTAAGGCGCACCAAGCGTGCTTCCAAGCCGCAAGAAACGTTGAAAAACATCGTTGTGAGCATTGGGTTTTCAACTGGGGGGGGGGGGCTTGCCCCCCCCCAACCCCCCCGCTTTTTTTAATCCGTGCAGAGCGGGCTTCAAAGCCCAAGAACTTGTTTTGACGCCCATCATTTGACGGGTGTTTTGCAAATGGGGGGGGGTGGGCTGCGCCCCCCCCAACCCCCCCCGCTTTTTTTAAGCCGGTCCAAGCGTGCTTCAAAAGCCCAAGAAACTATTTAAAAACATCGTGTGGAATCATTGGTTGCAAATGGGTGTGTTCTGGCTGCGCCCCCCCCCCCCCAACCCCACCGCTTTTTATAAGCCGTGCAGAAAGGAGTGTCTGTTTTGCCGCCCAAGACATATATACACATATATATATATATACACACATGCACACTAAACTATACATATCTTTGCGTCGAATGCGGTATCGTCCAAGAGAGGCAAAACCTCTTGTAGACTACCAAGGATTTTTTTTTGATTAGGAAAAAGTTTTTTTTTGATTTCCGCTTCTCGAATAAATTCATTCTAGATCTCTTATAAATACCCAAAGAAAGTTTTTTTTTGATTGGAAAAAAGTTTTTCTTGATCTTTGGAAAGTTTTTTTTTAGATTGGTCGGGAAAAGTTTTTTTTGATTGGAAACAAGTTTTTTTTTGATGGGTTTTCCGTCAGAAGCTGTCTCCAGTAGCTGCCTCCATGGGTCCTCACTGTCGCAAACTATGCTCATGCGTCGGACGCTTTATCGGGCTATAAGGGCGATAATTCCAGGTGAGGGTACCCAATTCCAGGTGAGGGTATCCTGGATTTCTTAAAGTTGAGGCACCCATTTTTCCAGGAATACGGCCTC